GCGGCCCGCGCCTCCCGGGAGCCCTCTGGGCTGCGGGCACGGGGCTCCGGCTCTGCAGGCGAGCAAGGGCAGAGAGGAGAAATCGCCCAGCTCGGGGGGGTGGACCAGAGTCGCCAAGCCGGAAAGTGCGTGCGGCCAACTTTGGGGTCTTCCAAGCCCGGCACCGCTTCCCTCCCAATGATATGCAAATAGGAGGGGTAGCTATCAGTCACGTGTGTCTCGGAAATCAAATGTTCGAGCCCCTGGGACAAACCTTTTGGGCAGACTGTGGGCCAAGGGCTGCTGGCTCCTCGGCTTGTGATGGTTTGACATCTTCAGAGTCTCCAGCAATCTTTCACGGTTAGGAGCGATGACCCTGAGACCTCCAGCACACGGTCATGGGAAGTCATAGAAGGCAGATGCTGGCTTGGGAAGCCCCAGCCCAGTGTTCCCATTGGCCCTTTATGTAAAGCAACGCACCCTGGACCACTAGCCACTGAAGCCAGTTTGTTGCCAAACGTGATTGCTGTTGGGTGCCCACGAGTGGGTTTCGTCGAGTCAGCGCAACAGAACGAAACACTGTCCAGTCACGAGCCATCCGCACAAGAGGAATGGCTTGAACCCATCGTTGCAGCCACCACATCACCAGTCAATCTGTCTCATTGATGGGCTTCCTCTTTTTCACCGGCCAGACCCACGACTTCACCAAGTATTATGTCCTTTTCCAGGGACGGGTCCAGAGTAAGTGCGGCAACGTCTCCCATGCACACTTCTAAGGAGCGTTCTGGTTGTGCTGCTTCCAGCCAGGTTCATTCCTTCTTGGAGGATTGGACACCAACACCAAGAGTCAAATGCACCAATGCCTCTTTGGTTTTCCTCATTCATTGTCCCGTTTTTGCATGCACATGGAGCAATTTTCAAGGGTTCATGAGGGAAGGGACAGCAGGGAGGGGGGGAAATGAGGAGATGATACCAAGAGCTCAAGCAGAAAGCAAATGTTTTGAGAATGATGAGGGCAACAAATGTACAAATGTGCTTGACACGATGGATGGATGGATTGTGATAAGAGTTGTATGAGCCCCCAATAAAATGATTTTTTAAAAATCACACGGCTTGGGCATCTTAGTGCTCCAAGTGGTTACTTGGCTTCACAACATTTTTAAGAGTTTTTTTTTTTTTTTTGCTGCAGCAGCAGCACAGATTTGCCCAACGCAATATGCCATTTGATTTCTTCACTGCTGCTCCCAAGGGCATTTTCTTGGATCATAGATCCAAGTACAATCAACTGCTTGACAAGTTTAATACTTGTCAAGGTGATCCATTTATCCTAATGCTTGTTTGTCCATTTGTGGGGCATGTTGTTTGCTTTATGTTGAGACGCTTCAAGCCCTCGCCCTTGAACATATTGCCGGTGGTTTTGAGACTTCCTCCAATCCTGTCACCATGTTTTCTTCATGCATAGTCCAGCTTCTTGGACTATATACTCAGACTACAGATTGACTAAATATGGCGAACGGATACCACCTTGACCCCTTTCCTGACTATAAGCCACACTTTATCTCTTTGTTGTATTCGAAAGATTGCCTCCAACAGATTCCGAATGAGCACAATTACGTCAGTGTTCTGGAATTCCCACTCTTCCCAATGCCATCCATAATTTGTTTTGCTGCACACATTCTAATGCCTTTCCAGAGTCAATAAAACACAGGCGAACCACTTTCTGGTATTCTCTGCTTTCGGTCAAGATCCATCTGATGACAGCAATGATCTTTCCTTATTCTCCATCTTCTTGTGAATCAAATTTGAATTTCTGGAAGTTCCCTGCAGATGTCCTGCTGAAACCATTTATGAATTATTTTCAGTGCAACGTTACTCTTGTGTAGTATTCATGATGTGGCTTGGTATTTTCTGCATTCTGTTTGACAAACTTTCTTTGTGGAGCACTTCCGTTGGTTGGTCAGGTAGCTGCCTTCCAAAGTTCTTGGGAGACATGGATGGATGCTTCCTGTATTGCATCTATTTGTTGAAACATCGTGATGGTATTCCATCAATTCCTGGAATCTTGGTTTCACCCATGCCCTTATCGCATCTTGGAGTTGTTGATAATTGACTGCATGCTGAAATGACTGAAAGTGATTCATTCATTTTAGAATAGCGACTGTGCTAGTTGTCTTCATTTGATGCTTTCTGTGTGGTTCAGCAATTTGTCTGTGGGGTTCCTCAATACTGCATCTTAAAGCCTGAATTTTCCCTGCAGTTCTTTCAGCTTGTCTTCGGGTAGCAGCATGTCCATTGCTTTGGTGTGCTAACGCTAGGTCTGTGCATACCTCTTTGCAATATTTTACTCGGTCTTCTCAAGATACCCTTTAAAATCTTCTGTTCATCTCTTTCCCTGTATTATGTCTGCTGTCCACTTTAGCTACTCCATTTTCGAGACTAATTTTCAGAGTCGCTTCCGTAAAAGCCAGTTGGGTCTTTATTTTAAGGACCACTTGCTTTCTTCGTGCATG